TGTTCGGGAACGATTTGGTTCACAAGCAGAAGCATTTGCCAAAATTTTGGTTTCGTTTGTGAACTCTGCACTGGGTGACAAACACAACCATGGCCATCTTTCCTACATGAACACGAACATGGCCATCTTTTCCAGAATCGTGGAGTGAATTAAGTTTGTGAGCTGAGGTACCGCTGTATTCCTCCTTGCTTAGAACGCACGTATCCCATTGTTCATGCCGCTTTCTGTGGCAGCTCTGGAGTCCTCTTTCCTGAGTGTCTTTATGAGATGTGATGAAAAATAGGGTGAGTGCCGGCGAGCGCCACCCAGCGGAAAGGCAGCTCGTGAGACACGACGCTGCGTCCTCACCCACCTTAGTCACCAGCTCTGACACCGTGTGACTTCTGACGCTTCCTCGAAGTCAGAATGACCACGAAAGGTCAACATTTTGAATCAACTCAGGACCCTGAGGCAGCCGCTAAAGACACTTAAGAAAGCGGACTCCAGAGCTGCTGCAGGAAGTGGCCAGAACAAGGGATGGATGTGTATGAAGCGAGCGCAAGTGCTAAGGGGGGTTCAAGGCAATGAGTCTTTTGCTATGATACATTTTTAAACATTCACTGTATTTTCCAATCTCACCTCATAAATATGTGATCTTATAAATATATTAAATTTATATATAAAATGTATGCTAAAATGATACATGTGTGTCAAGATTAGATAGAGACAGACAGGGGGAGAGAGGGAGATTTCGAGGACCTGGTGCATACTCCAGTGGATCTGCCATTCGAAGTCTGAAGGGCAGGGTGGAAGCTGGAGACCCTTAGGCAAGAGCTAATACCTTCCTCCACTGAACCTCAGTTTCACTCCAGAGGCCTTCTACCACTTAGATGCATCAACCAGGCTAAGGAGGCTCATCTCTGCTGCCTACAGTCCACTGGTTCAAGTTTTCACCATGTCTACATAGTCCCTCCCCACAACACCAGGCCAGCACTTCCCTGAATCAAGAATTAGCAAACTGAAGCCTGTAGGCCAAATCTGGCCCACCGCCTGTTCGTGTAAATAAAGTTTTATTGAAACACAGCCACATCTGTTGGTTTACACATTGCCTGTAGCTAATCTCAGGCTTTAAAGGCAGAGCTGAGTAATTACTCAGATGGCCCCAAAGCCTAAAATATCTGTTGCACTACTCTTTATGGCGAAAGTTTGCCAACCTGCAGAGCAGAGCCCAGGCACTCTCAGATCAGGTGCACTACAACGTGTCTAACCTCTCTGCAAGTATGGAGCTTAACTGATGACTCAGTTCCTTATTTCCTTGAGGATCACACACACACACACACACACATAAAATAAAATAAAATAAATAAGTAAAACCTTAGAGGAATGGAGGCACTGAATGAGAGGATTTCTCTTAAGGGCTTTGGGACTCAGGAAATCAGGTGGGAGACCTGGAACATGTGACTATGTCACGGGGCTTGAGGGTGGTGGAGGTGGAGCTGGGTGATCACAGCACAGGAAAAGAGCCCACGCACTTGAGGAGGAAAGGGAAGGACGCTATTCCGCCCCCATCTGCAGACACCCGGGATGCTAGGCCAGGCTAGGCGATGTCTCTCCGAAGCCTGGTCCATGGGCACGGTTAACTCACACAAGGAGCCACAAACTCTGAGCTACAGGAGCCGAAGACCCAGCAGGGTCATCATCTCCCCAAGGAGGGGCTGTGCTCTCCAGGTGGCGATCGGAGTGGGCGCCCCCGGAAGCCCTCACGGGACGGCACCCCAGTGCGGCAGGAGTGGACGTCCCGAGTGTGGCAGACCCACGTTCTCAAGGACAGGCCTTAGAAGGGGAGCTCAGCCCCCTGCAGGGAGAGATGGCCCAACATTCCCAGCACCTACTCCAGGTGGGCGACGGTCAGCAAATCCTGGAGTCCATGGTGGGGACCACATCCACCTCCAAGTATTCACTTCTTTGGGAAATGATAGCAACCACCGTTCTGCCAACCCAAGAGAAATTTCCCAGAATTTCCAATTATTTGTGGGGCCCTGGGCCATTGGTCGCCTTGATGTCGGCTGCTCCAAACCCTCAGGCAAGGGAATCTGGCAAGGGGGACACTCTCGGGGGCAGGAAAAATGTTCCATCTTCCGGTGCCCGAGGGAAACCGGAAACGATACTTGTTTTCCCAAGAAACTCTTACCAGGGGCTACTAGGCCCCGAAGAGCGTTCTCATCACAGGGAACCCGACAGTGAGGGTTTCTAACGTGATGGGGACTCAGAAATGACTGCGCTGCTCCTCAGAAACATTGTCACTTCCCTGGCTGCTCTCGGCCCTGGCTTCCAGTGATTTTATTACTGCTGTTGCTTTGATTTTTTGTTTTTTTTTAGAAAACATCTTAGTGCGTTTCCACCAGTTGTCATGGAGCATCACAGAAACTTCCTGGGGGAAGAAATTGCTTCAAAGGCTCACGGTTCCAAGACACACACACCCCACATGCACACACGTGCATCAAACTGTGAGAGAAAAAGGAAGCAATTTTGAGGAGGGAAAATATTGTGATATGATCTATACACTCATCTCTTTTTTGGCACCGGTTTGGGTGTTCACCATCTGCCGTCACCTACAAATTATTGGCTGTCATTACCGTGTTATGATGACACATGACAGTAAATACAAAACTAGTGAAGCAAAATGATAAGTGGCAGCTGCAGGTAAAAGGCCTCAAGAACAAGCGGGGAGCAGCCTGGAGATCCTGGGCGCACGCTGGTGTCTCTGCGTGGACACAGTTCGTCCACTCAGGAGCGCAGGCCACGCTCCAACCTCAGAACACCGCACGGCTTCCTGAACGATCCGCAAAGCCCCCGAGCAAATACCTACACGTTCCATAATGTTGGGTGCCGAGACAAAACGGTCTGCATTTTTCCCAGACAGATGAGCGCACAGAGCTTCTCGCTCTCCTTCGACCGCCAGGATCACCTGTACGTGGCGTCGGGTGGGAAATGTCAGAGCTCAAATGTGGGGCGAGCGAAACAGCACCAGGGTGCCGCACTGTGCCAGAAAACGGGCCGCGCTCCGAGGCTCCGCCCTCCACGCCAACAAAATTACGAGGATGTGCCTGATTCCTAAAGCCATTTGTTCTCTTAACGAGATAGAGCTGTGCGAGCAGGTATCTACTAGGAGACAGAAGATGGGATCCATCCCTCCGGCGTGTTTGGGCCGCGCGTGTCCCTTTTGGGCCATCCCGGGTGCGTGGGGGCACCCGCCCTTCCTGCCCCTTCCTGCCCCGCGGTTTCCACCCGTCCACCCTCGCTGCAGGGCCGTGGGAGATGGGACGCTGAGCGTGGGGGCCGCGGCTTTCCCCCTTCACTTCCCATCCGTCCCTGGAGATAGTGCCCAGTCTCATTTTTAACTCTTTTCTTTCTCTCTTTCCTCCTTTTTTAGATGCCTGTTGGGCTTCCCCCCCCCCTTTTTCCATATTCTCCATTTAGAAACTCGCATCATGTGAGTGCGTGCATGTGTGTTACTCAGAATTAAACCCGGGGCCTGCGGCCGCTTTGTATTTTGCGTTTTGAAATAGGGCCTCATGAAGTTCCTAGGTTGCCCACCCGGAAATCTCATCAACCTTTTCTTTTCTTTTTTTTTTTTCCGCTCTTCACCAAGTCCCAAAGTTTAATGGAAAACCAAGAGGAAGAAGCAAGTGGGAGAGGGAAAAAATGCTAGAAAGGGGGTGGAGAGAGGAAACGCTGCTCACACAGCCGCCAGCACAAGGAGGGCAGGGGATCCTGCAGCTTCCTGAGCCCCTCAGCACAGACGCAAGGCCCGGGGAGGAAAGAAAACCCCTTCCCTCGCCACAGCTCTTGGCTGCGTGGAGCTGCCGGCAGCGGTCGGATGATTGCACCCCTCTTCCCTTCCCCGACGGCCCCTTTCGTGCCAACACAGACTCTCCGCAGCGTGGCGAGAAAGCCGCAGCCTTCCTTCCGGCTCTTCCTAGCCTCGCCCAGAAATCAAGAGAGACTCTGCACCCACGCCCGACCCCTACTCCCCTATTCTGTGTGCCTCCGACAAATAAGACTCCCCGAGACTGTGGCCCCTGCTGGCAGCTCTATCCGGTCACCTCTGGTTAGCGTGGGATCCTGGTGGGGAAACCCGTCTCTCCTTACCGGATGGTTGGGTTCTTGTTACCATGGTAACACACCGACGCACCCCTAATGGCTCAAAACAACACACACTTTTTATCTTACAGCTGCGGGGGTCAGAAATCTGACCTGGGGAAGAGTGGGCCAAAATCGAGATGCCAACAGGTGCGGGTCCTTGGAAGCTTTGGACACACCCATCAGTAGCCGGGGAAGACTTGGTGTTTATTTAAACCAGGTTTTTCCATGGAACTCCTGGGAACGAGACGCAACTTTGTGGATGGGAAGAGACTGCACAAATCGTCCCCAGGAACTCGGAGGGGCGCGGTCCCACGTTGGACAGTCTTCCTGCTCTCCAGGAACGTGGTTGTCGCCCTGCCCCAGCGCCTGGCCTCCATATGCCCTGGTCCTGGCCTCCCTTCGCCCATCCCAGTGGCAGGGCCACAGCCACACACAGCACAGACTCCTTCCCCGTGTGCCTCCGATCCTGGCTCTGCAGACGTTGGACCTGGGGGGCTTGTGCTCCATCCCCCACACCCGCTGCCCAGTGCTGTCCCTCGGTCCTCCCGTGACAGCTGTGCTAGGTGAGGCACGGCCCGTCCCTCTCCTCTCCTCCCTCCCCACGGATGTGCTCTGCACCATCAGCAGCCCCGGTGAAGCTTCAGGGTGCCGTGATCATACGGCAACAGCCGCAGCCCGGAGCTGGTCAGAAAGGCCCCAGTGTGACACCCGAGGTAGGGACGTGGGTGCAGGAGGGAAAGCAGCCTCTGCAGCTGACAACACACATGTGTTTTCTATCTCTGGCTCGTTAGAGGCAGCTGAAAATATCATTTAAATGGATCCAGAAAGTGGGGCACCACGGATGTTAGGACTGGTGGGGAGTTTCGCATACTTACCACAAAGTCGGGCCTTGTCGCAAGCCGAGACGTCAGGATCCTGCCAGCAGGTCCTAAACCTGAAAGGATGAGGACAGAGAGACGGGAGGCACCTTTCTTCTTATGTTGCTTGCTTTAGTACAGAACCTCTTCCTTTTATACTCTCCAGCTGCATGGGAGCGAGGGCTACACGGGAGCGAGAGTACCGCCCACACATTCCAGAGGGAAACAATAACGACCATTATGGGTTACATCTGCTACTAGCTGAACTCGCCGGTGGCTATGGGCGAGAGCACCTCCGTGCCAGCCAGGTGACGCAAAGTTCAATCATGGCTAGGCCTGTGTCAAGGCTCACCATGATGGCTCGCCATAGGGCCTGGTGGCGCACGTGTCATCCCAGCCCTCTGGAAGGCTGAGGCAGGAGGATCCCAGGTTCAAGCCCAGCCTGGACAACTTGGCAACTTAGCGAGGCCTGTCTCAAAATAGAATAAAAAGGTGAAGGTGGGTGACAACGTAGCTCATTCTGAAGGCCCACTGGGTTCAATCCCCAGTACCAGGAAAACAAACACAAACCTGGTCCACAGAACTAAGAACCAGTGGCGGTGATGAGGGGCAGAGTCCTCCTGGGATGGCTCTGAGCTCTGATCTCGGGACATGGGGCAGCCCCGCCGGATGGTGGGACAAGAGGAAGTCCTGGGGACCTGGCCAAAGGAACCAAGAGCCCATCAGAATAAGCGCTTACCCAATAAAATGTATAAGACTAGGCACCACAACATGTTAAACCCGAAGGTTCCTAATGATATTCAAAAGCTCATGGCTGAAAATGGAAGACAGTAATGCACCACATCACTCTCTCAAACTGAGAGAAACAGGTTCAGGCTTCTACTGCTTTGCCTTCGGAGTGTGAGCTACGGGTTAACAAAGGGCTTGATGCAGAAAAGAGCCCAGTTAATTAGCAAAGAAGAAATGAGCTGGGGTCAGATTCTGAAGCTCCTGATGAACCAGTGGGCCGAGGCTGGAGTAACCACGAGGAAAGAGACCCTGGCACCAAGCACTGCCCGATCGAAGGGCCCCGTGACATCTAGGACACGTGGACATCCGTCATGGTTGAGATTCAATAGGATTAGACTTCTTGATTGAACTACTAAAGTACAGGAAAAACAAAGGATGGAAAAATATGTTAGACGAAATCAGGGGGTTACCTCAGTGACATACACGTCTCCTAGTGTCACATGCATACCATTTATATATATGAAATATGATGAACATTCGAGTTTTAAAATTTATTGTAATGAAAGATACATTGCCTTTAATGACACCCCCCAGAAATTGCCATAAATGTTTGCTTGGTGAAGGGTGTCAGAAAATACAGTGAATTTTTTAACTTAAAAATTCCCACTCACTTTGAACACACTTATCCCATCATTCTTGGCAATGTGTGTTTTATTGGACTACGTTTTTTTAAATTTAAACACTCACTATTTCTCTTTATCACTGCAGGCCTGCGTGTGCATGACATTACAGGGCGAATACACTGACTTCCTCAATAAATAAGTTCAGTACAATGAAAGAGATGTGTGAACAAATCTACCTGAAACAACCTTGTTTGAATCGCAGTAAAAGCTGTCAAAAAACAAAATCCCTAAGACAAAATGGTTCTGTGGTTTTTTGGCTTTGATCTGTGTCTTGGCGCTGGGGATCGAGCCCCAGGCCTGGGCACGATGGCCAAGAGCTGTAGCTCCAGCCCACAAGGTACTTGTTTCTAAGTTCTTTGTCTTTTCCTCATCTTTCAGATACAACATACTGAAGGGTTTAAGGTAAAACTATATGAGTCATTGAAACTGTTTCCAAATATAGTATTTGGTAGGAGTGGGGACTAAAAGGGTAAAAGAAACAAGATGTAGGATATTTGCACGTATGGAAATGTGGCAGTGAATGCCATTAACTTGCACAATTATCATGTGTTAACAATTACAATAAAATGAAAAAGAAACAAGATTGGCCATATACAATATCGATAATTACGGAAGCTGAGTGGCCAACATATCAGGCTCATGCTAAAAACAACCACTCTCTGATTTGGCTTGCTTTTAAACTTCCATAATAAAAGGTTTTTTAAAATCATGCCTACAAAGAATTTTCAGTGACAGGGAAAATCCTTATGATACAATAGTAGGAAAAAAGCAAGAAAAATAGCAGTTCAGCAAGATGCACACAAATTCAGTAAGCCCTGTGCCAATGTGTTCAAGGAAGCTACTTTGGGAGGTGGTATTATCAGGTACACTCTGATTTTCCAACTTGGATAACTAAGGGAAACAGACTTTATTCTAATTTTATGAGTAGATGAAGTAGGCATCATTTGAAACAATAGCATTGAGTCTGGAGCACTGTGTGGGACCAACTCTCAGAGGACTACTGCCACCCATGGGCCATCTTAGCTCTTACAGCTGACATCTATCGTGACGTGGAGAGCATGTCCTTCAGTCTTCAACACAAGGCAATGGTATTTATTTAGTTATTCTTCCAGAGTTCCACTCAGTATTACCGGAAGAATGAAAAAGCCCAATGATGACACATATATGATTCCCTGGCTGTTCCCGCAGGAAGAGAATCTGGTCAGCGATCATTAATAGGCACCCATTGTTCTAGAAACTTCTGTTCATGAGATGACAGGCATTTCTTTTTGTTTGTTTTGTGAAGATACTGAGGAGTCTACACACTTTTTGTGCCTTTTCTCCACGGGAAAGCAGACTTCACCCCTCAACATTGCACAATGCACCAGCTTATCTTGACAAGTATTTCCTCAGAGGCCAGAGCCCACCACCTCCTTCACGCAAGGGACTTGGTTTCCAGGGGAGTGTTTGTGTACCAGGAATTTGTATTCATTGCCTTCTTAGGAACCTTGCTTTAAAAACCACACAAAAGGAATGTGTATGGAGATATAAGCAAGGCTTATGCTACCTACCAGTCTAGAAAGTTCCAGAATATTCAGGAAGCCTGTTCTCCTTGTCAGACCATCTCCAACCCTATGGAACACACCCTGGAAGAATCTGGCTGGATATTTTTCTTCATAATCTCTTGGATTTCTTCCCGGTTTTTTTGTTTGACTTTGTTTTTCCTCTTTTAGCTATTCTGCCTGAGGATGGTTTGATCTTTCTGGTAAAATGTTAACTTGGGAATTTCTTGGCGTTCCTGTTTGGAGGTGATCACCCAGCATCCCTGCATGGCATCTGCGCATGTGTGCATCCCCGGAGTGCGTGCCTCGTTCCTTCCCTCCAAGGTTTGTGCCAGGTTCAACAAACTCCCTCCGTCTCTGGAAGGTCCTGCTCATCCACTGGCAAACAGAGCCCCCAAGAGGCCCTGTCTAGGAGCTGGACTGCTGCTCTTCTTCCTCTCTCTCCCTCCCAATCCTCCTCATCTTCCTCTCCTCCTTCCTCCTCTTCTCCCCACTCTGCCCCCAACCCACAGGGGACCAGGACCACATCCACTCCGGGATCAGTGAGACAGTGGGTTCAAGCCCCAGCTCTTGGACCAACTTTCCAGTCAGCTTTGCAAGATGGAATTTCAGTTCACAGGGATCGGAAGGCGGAATCTAAAGGGAGCCTGTGAGGCAGAGATGCACCCTGCGGGACCGGCGCTCTTCGGGAGGGCAGAGACAAGCTTCTGACCACGCCAGATCCAGGCCACAGACAGCCAAGCTGAAGGTCTGACTCACTGACCCCAATTCACACCATCGGCACCCAGTGGTGGAGAGGACGGTGGAAGTGGCCAGCGAACCCACAGGCCACTGACCGTTCGGCTTCCAGGCACCTGGGCCAGGACCAGTCACAACCACAATGCACTACATACACACAACACATGTCAGATCTGAGGACTTGGGGTGAAACAGAGCAGGGAAACTATCTCATCCACCATTCCTGTACTGGGTGTGGTGGATGGAACGAGCTCGGAGGTACTGGGCTAGATACAATATAGTACCGAAGTTCGCCTCATCCTTGAAAATAAATTTAGCAGGCTGCCAAGAGGGGAGGCTGTCAACCTCCCCTCTGCCCTGGGAAGCAGCATGCAAAAGTGGTGATCAAAGCCATATCTTTAGATATCTGTACATATTTCTATGAAACCAAGTATGTGTTTGCCACAAACTGTCCCATATGGAGATGAAGGGTTCCTCTGAATATTATTGTGGTGGCTTTGGATTTCTAAGAGCCCAACAGTCATCCTTATTACAATTACTCTTGAGCCCATTTGACAAAATATTGTCCGAAGTCCTGCTATTACCCAGCTTCTGATAAAAGCATCAGATGTGCTGAGGGCCTCAGGCTGCACTTGCTGATCAACATAACAAAGTCAATATCTCTTTTTTGTTCTTTTTTTCTACCTTTTTCTGCCCCTGCCGACGGAAAACATCTTTCCTCGTAGCAGAAGTTTTGGAAATAGAAGGGTGTTTGTTTTGGGTTGCAAAACTGAGGCAAACGTTGGCTAGGTGACTCCAAAGGCTTTTGCAAAGACTTTCCACCCTCGATTTCCAAAGCGAAGGCTGCTTGTGTAACGCTTGTGTAGAACGCGCGGTCCGCCCCCACGTGAAGCAAGCGATTCCAGGAATGTTTGCTTTGCAGAAGTGAGCCTGCGTGCTGCCCGCTGTTTGAAAGTTTCCACACGTCCACTCAGTGGCTGGAGGGAGACACAGACACATGGTCACCTCTCCTTGGAGGGCCCTGGTTTCGCCCACAGCGCCTCTCCTCAGGAGCCGCCCGCCTTGTTCTCCGATGTCTCCGGGTTTGGGGTGACTGTCGCCACTCCAAGTTGTTACCATCAGGGCTGACCTCACAAAGACCGGGCACACACAGGTTGTCCCACAAAACTGAAGAACGAAAAAGACCCCGGACTGTCCTGCAGCCGCGTTGATGGTTCGGATTTTGTCCCCCGAGAAGCTAAGTTCAAGTCCTAACTCCTAACACCTCAGAACGTGACCTGGTTTAGAGACGGGGTCTTGGCTGAGGTCCTCGGGGTGAGCTGAAGCCAGTGGGCTGGTGTCCCAGTCTCACACAGAGAACCGATCACCCGGGTGGCACAGAGAACCCATGAGAAGACTGGGATTATGCTGGCCCTGCCGAG